CCGCCTTATCAGCTGACGGCGCAAACACCAACATCTATTTTAGGTCCGGGCGAGCATCCAAAAAACGAGGCTGATGAAAGCCCGTCGGTGTTTTCCTTGTGCCAAGGGCAAAGGACGGGGAGGTGGTAACGAAAACGCTGCCTTCCCCCCTCCCTTGGCATCCTCCGTCTCCTTTCTTCGTGTTTGCTCCGTGGGGGCGAGCTTGTGGCGGTCCCTGGGGGGTTGCAAACGTGGGTGTTCGGGTGAGCGTGGGGGCAGAGCTGAGCCGGCGCGTTTGCCCGGTGGGAATTACCCCCGGGGGTTTTTTTTCTTGCAATCCTGCTTATCTTTGCACGGCTGCAAGAAGAAAAGGCGTTGCCGGAGTAACGCCGCAAAAATAAATCAACTGCAGCAAAATAAATCAACCGCAGCAAAAGAGAAAGAAAACCCGGTAGTAGCTTCTTCCCTTCTTCCTAGGAGAAAATCCAGGGACGCTTGGATTTCCTGAAAAAGGAGAGGCAAGAGCTGCTGGAGTTCAAAGTGAACGATGACAAGAAAACCCAGGAGCTCTTGGTGCGTGTTCAGCGCTGTGCTCGGGGCCGGGGGTGTTGGGGGGTTAGGACCCACCGAGACACCCCATCTCCTCCTTACCAAGGGCTCTGTCAGCGCCCGAAAAGGGGAGATTATAGGTTATATGGAAAAATAGGTTTTCTCCTTCTTTCGCCATCAGCGTTGCCAACTTGGATTTTGGAAGACCAAGGGGATGGGTGCTGGAGCATCCCTGAGCGCGAGGCTGGCTCTGGGGCTTCTTCATCCTTCATCCCTCTTCATCCCCTTCCTCAGCCCACGGGGCAGCAGACGGCAGCGCAGTATTTGCTGCAGGAAACCCCCCCCACCTCCCCTAACACTCCCCCCCAGACCATCACCCTCAAGTCAAAATCGCCACCAGGTCACCCTCAGCCCAAATTTCTGCTCGACCATCTCCGCCCAACGGGTTTATTACCACAATTTGAGGGTTTGGGTTTGGGTTTTTTGTGTTTTTACGGTTGGCAGGGCTTGAAAAAGCACCAGCCTGCCAAGAGCCGCCGTTTCATACGTGATGCGAAAGGCAGAGCGTGAAGGCCGGGTTTTTTGAGGGCCAGGTGGACCTGTCGGACCTGTGCTGAAGGGCACGGTAGAGCGAGGCAAGGAAAACACGTTCCACCTCGCCCGTGCTGCCAAAGGGTGCGTTTCCCAGAGAAAAATGTTCCCCTTTGTCCCTGGGCTTTGTCTCAGAAGGGGACTTGTTGCTCTGCTGGTGGTGATGACCCAAGTAGGAACCAGGATATTGGCAGAGGAGATCTTGGCAGGGCAGGGAGGGAGAAATACTGCTCCGAGTGGGTTCTCCTACGCAACCCCTTCCCCCCAGCTCGGGTGGTGGGGCCAGGAGATGATGACAGATTGGTGACACCTCTCGGTCACCGCTCCCAACCTCTTCCTTGAATGCTGATCTCCCCCACCACCTCAGGGGGGATAGGGGGAAGCCTACGTGTCCATTGTAGAACAGAAAACCCACCTCAGATCTGCTGTGGAGGTGAGGTACCCCCCCCAGGCGCAGTTTGGTGACCTCTTCTCTCCAGAAAAGCCTGTGGGGATGCAGCTGCAAGGCAGATAACGGCTATTTGTGGAGTAACGACCCACGGCCTTTGCTCTCCCATCCCTTTTCAAGACCTTTGTCCAGGTGTGCCACACAAAATATCTCCTCGTCCCTCCCCAGCTGAAGGCGCCCGTCGCCAGCGAGCAGCAGCCATGACACTCTCAGGTGCTCCAGATTCACCAGGTGGCCTTTATCCGCCCCAAAATCATTGCACCCGCTTAAACCCATTTTTTTTTTCCCGACATGCGTTCCCAGAAAACCATCGAGAACGAGCGGCAGAAGCTGCTCTCGGAGTTCGAGAGGCTGCGGCAGTTCCTGCACGACCAGGAGCACATCCTCCTGGGGCAGCTGGAGAAGATGGAGAAGAACATTGCCAAGAGGCAGAACGAGAACATCACCGACCTCTCCAAGGAAATCACGCTCCTCAACAAGCTCATCACGGAGCTGGAGGAGAAAATCCAGCAGCCCATGCTCGAGTTCCTCAAGGTGAGACAGAATAAGCCTTCAGCTTTGAGTCTTGACCCTGCTTCCTCCTTTTTTTAATGTGTTTCTGGATCCTGTAGAGGAGTTTTGAGGATAAAAGTCCCTTTTTTTTTCTTTCTAATGAGCAGATGGCACCTGGCTCGGTGCCCTGAGCTCTGCTACGTCAGCAATAACACACAGCAACCCTCTCTGGCTCAGGAACACCCTGAAACAGCGGTGTCCTCTTCATATTTACTAGCCTCTGACATATTTTTCTCCCGTGAATTTGCCTGGACCTTTCTAGCATCCCGTAAATTCCTGCTTCGAGGTGTTCAGAGCTGAATCAGACCTTGCGTGAAGAGCCACCACATCTAGATCCCTAAACCGGGCAACTCCTCCCGCGAAACCGGGTCTCGATGGGTTTGTGGCGTGCCAAATCCCAGATATCCACCGCCCCAGGCATTGGGAAGGGCTTGGGATGGAGTTGGGTGCAGGAGCACACGGAGCTGGGCTCCGCGAGACGCAGCTCCTTGCCAGTTTTCGCTGGCAGAGGGTGAGCAGAGCGGGGTTTTCAAGTCAAAACGAGCCGTTGACCAAGCGGGAAAGTGTGAGGGAGAGGGCAGATATTGATTGCACGGCAAGGAAAGGAGCTGGAGCAAATCCAGCCTTCCCTCTTACCCAAACTCTCCTTCGCCGGCGAAGTGGGGTTGGAAAAACAAACCTGAGCCGCCCACCCCAAAATCAAACAATCCTGTCCTCCTCCGAGCAGCAGAGAGAGGGCGAAGGGGTGACCTTCTTGAAGTTTTGGTTAAACTCGGTGGATTGAGCGGGTCTGCACGGGGTTAAACTCCCTCCCAGGCAGCGTTGGAAGCACTTTAAATATTTAATATTTACAGACGGTTTCGGTACTTGGCTACGGGTGAAAAAACCTCATTTCACGTGGTCTTTGCTCCACCGATGCACGCAAAAATGGTTCTGTAACAATGGGGGATATTTTTTTCTAAAAGGCCACGTCGGAATTCCTTAGCCAGCTCTCGAGACGTTTTCCAGCCCCTTGGGAGAGACGGGTGATGGCTTTGTGTTGCCTTTGAATCGCGTCCAACGTGCTGGCCACGCTCCGTGCCCTTCTTGATGTTAACGGCGTCAGAAAGGGAAAACCGTGTCACGGACTGGCCTGAGGGTGGGTTTCATCTCGGCGAATTTTTACCGTGTACCAAAACCCGACTATCGATGGGTTTTTAACCCGTAATTCACCCGTTCTCAAATCATTTCCACTGTCGCAATATCCATCTCAGGGTGGGATGGATCACCCTTTGGAGACACCCTAAACACTTCTTAGTAGTGACCAGAGCGTGGAAGTCCAGATATCATGGAAAAATAGATGTTGCGGATTTAACGCCAATTTTTTAGGTGGCCAAGTCACGACGGATCGTGTCCCTCCGTCTCAGGTCGGTGGGTGCTTGCGGGTGTCTCCGTATCTCGAGATTTCACGTGGGGCAGGTTGACAAGACCTTCTGGGACGTGGAAGACCAGCAGAGAGGTCCCTAGAGCACCTCAAGGGCTGCCAGATGCCTCCACCTGGGTTCACAACCGCAATAATGGAATAGGAAACGGGGTTTTTTTTGCAGTCACCACCCTGGAAGATACCCCCCAACCCACCTGGGCAAGCTCTTTGGGCGATGGGTTGGATGACACACCTCCAGAGGCACCTTCCAGACTAAATCAGATCATGATTCGATGGGCATAAACCTGGAATGTTGTAGAGGGAAGCGTTTGGTTCCTCCCGCAGAAGCAGATGGGTCTCGGCTTGCTGCAGGCGCCGGGGTGGGATTTGGTGGGGTTGTGGCCTTCCGAAGCCGAAAGCGAACGCTTGAGGGATGGATCCATCCCTGCTCTTTGCAACCATAAGGGATGGACATCCTGGTTGGGTTCGGTGAAGGGGAATCGCTCTCGTGCCGTCTGAGCCGGGGCAGACGTAGTATGTGCTGAGCAGTGATGTCACTCAGTCTCTCTTTTTCCTTCCTAGGATGTCATGAGCATCATAAGCAGGTAAGGAGCGCTGCTTCTCCCCTTCTTTCATGCTTTTTGCCCCCAACCAGTGCTGTTTAAAGTCCAGATGCCAGAGGCAGGCACCGAGGTAGACGGAGGTTGCGTCCTGCCCGCTGCAAGCCCTGGGTCTCCTCCAACTTTTTGGAAAACTCAACGTTATCCCAAAGTCTTTTCTTACCGGGGAGTTTCTTCAAAGGTCAAGTGAGACCAGAAACCCCCAAGTCATCTTATTTCCCTCGCGGAATCCATCCAGGGCAACGGTTTATGCTCCAAAAATGAAATTTAAGCTGCAGCAGGAGCAGCTGAGTGGGGGTAACCCAGCACAGACACCCTTTCCGATGACCAGCCGGGGGGGTTTTTTTAAAATTGGACGTGCAAATCCCGGTGCCCTCAGCCCGGGGAGGGGTTGAAATCCCAGTGCCCTCCTCGCAATGCGGCGCTGAGAGCCCTTGGAAGGGTTGGGGGTGGGGTGGGGTGTGAGCATCGCACGGTGCCAACGGCAAGTGAAAAAAAAAAAAGACGTTTCGGGGGAGAAAACAATGATTTTCTCATTGTCTTTACGTTTTTTCTTTGCAGAAGTGACGACGTCAAGTGCCAGAAGCCTGTGCCAGTGTGCACGGACATGAAAATGCACATCTGCAATTTTTCCCTCAAAACCGTCGTCCTGGAGAAAGTCTTGAAGAAATTCAGAGGTACACGGAAACGAAAGCAGGGGGAGGGGGAGGGTGTTTTAAAATAGGTCTGGCCTTTAGCAGGTGTCGGGGAAGAGGGATGAGGAGTGCTGGGGATGCTGCGGATGGCTCGCGGTCCCTTGGCACGCGCCTGGCCGGCGGCACCGAAATAGGAGAATAAATCCTGTTGGGAAGGACTTGGGGAGATGGGGGTGAGCAGGAGACTCCCCCCGCCAGGCTGCCGGGGAGGGGGGATGCAGGAATTTTAAACCCTGAGCCTGGCACATGGATTTTGGTGCAATAAACCTTGCGATTTTCACATCTCGAAGAGTTTCAGGATACCAACGCCTTGCAGCAAGGCGGCAGCGCCACGAGATGGGGCTGAAGGATTTGGAAAAGGGAACAAGGGCCGGAGAGCAGGTTTGGAAGGAAAAAGCCCAAAATGCAAACCGTGCCCTGGAGCAATAATAGGATTAAAGCATCGTACTGCGAGTTCGAAACTCAGTACGAGGAGAAACTCATAATAAGAGGAGAATAAAATCTGGTGGAGCACGATAAATAAGGCT